TGGATAAACAAATTATTTTTGCAAAATGTTTTGCTTGGGAAAGTGTATTTGTTTTTATTTCTTTATGTAACCCACCGATCTTCCTGCACCCAACCCACGAAAAGCTGGAATCAAACAGGCGAATCATTGCATGGGAGTCGGTTGCTCTAACAGGAAGTCTAAAGACCATGTCCTCTAGCGTTTGTCACTAAAGCACCTTAGAGGTCAGAGGAGCTAGGTTTATCTACATAGCACTTCGCTAGCTGGTCTCCATTAAACTCACCCCCTCACTCCCATCCCGGACGAGCCCCCCATGTAACCCACTAGTCCTACAGCACCCAACCCATGCTGAGCTGGGATCGAACTGATGAGTCTTTGCATGGGAGTTGGTGCTGGATAAACAAATTATTTTTGCAAAATGTTTTGCTTGGGAAAGTGTATTTGTTTTTTATTTCTTTATATAACCCACCAATTCTCCTGCACCCAACCCACGCCAAGCTGGGATCAAACCGCCAATTCTTTGCATGGGAGTCTGTTGCTCTAACAGGAAGGCTAATGACCATGGCCTCTAGTGCATGATGCTAGAGCACCTTTAGAGGTCAGAGAAGTGAGGTTACCTTCATAGCACTTTGCTAGCTGGTCTCCGTTAAACTCACCCTTCCAAACACCACTCCCATCCCGGACGAGCTCCCACACGTAACCCACTAGTTCTACTGCACCAAACCCGCGCTGAGCTGGGTTTGAACCAATGATTCTTTGCACGGAAGTTGGTTGCTCTAACAAGGAGGCTAAAGATCATGTCCTATCGTGTCTGTCACTTGAGCACCTTTAGAGGTCAGAGGAGTGAGATTTACCTGCATAGCACTTCGCTAGATGGTTTCTGTTACACTCACCCCCCTAAACATCACCCCTATCCCGGACGAGCCCCCACATGTAACCCACCAGTCCTTCTGCACCCAACCTATGCTGAACTGGGATCAAATCGGAGATTCTTTGCATGGGAGTCGCTTGCTCTAACAAGGAGGCTAAAGACCATGCCCTCTAGCCTCTGTCGCTTGAGCACCTTTAGAGGTCAGAGGAATCAGGTTTACCTGCATAGCACTTCGCTAACTGGTCTCCATTTCACTCACCCCCCTGAACCTCACTCAAATCCCGGACGAGCCCCCGCATGTAACATATCAGTCCTACTGTACCCGACCTGCGCTGAGCTGGGATCAAACCGAAAAATTCTTTGCATGGGAGTATATTGCTCTAACAAGGAGGCTAAAGACCATGCCCTCTAAGGTGTGTTGCTAGAGCAACTTAGAGGTCAGAGGAGCGAGGTTTACCTGCATAGCACTTCACTAGCTGGTCTCCATTACATTTTCATAAAAATAATATAATATTAATATAAATACTTTGCCATCCAGTACAATACCACTGCATGAATATTCAATTGTACAATCATTTTAAGGCCACCGTACCCTCAAATTCAGCTCTCAAAATATAATCATTATTAATATAACTGGATGACAAAATATGTATTTAAAAGCAAGCTTTAATCTGCCTAATTCAGGCAATTAAGCATTGCAACGGATCACTGGCTGGCTAAAAGTTGACTAGCTCCTGTGCAACACAGACATCCAGCAGGAGCCTTTAGATAAGCCAGACATTTTAGTGCAAGCAATTTGTAATTTCAGTCTGCGCAATTGAACATATTTTATGTGACTGCAGAGTGAAATGGAGAAGCAATGAAACGTGGAGCATACTGCACTGGAACTAAAGAGATGACACCTGTGTGTGTGTGTGTGTGTGTGTGTGTGTGTGTGTGTGTGTGTGTGTGTGTGTGTGTGTGTGTGTGTGTGTGTGTGTGTGCGTGCGTGCATGTGCATGTGTGCAAAAGCTTGACATCTGTTGTTCAGTTTATATAATTAATAGAACAAGTGGAGAAATATACAAATGTACAATACACAAATTGAACAGCAAAGTATAAACGCATTCTTTCAGACTCAATGTGCACAGAAATACATATCATAAATAACAAGAACACAAACATACAAGCATACTCTTATACATTAACACATGCTGGCAAACACACACATGCATACACGCGCACACACGCACGCACACACACACCGGTTAGGCTGGCAGGGTCAGAGTGTATGACTGGGGTCATGTTGGGTGAAGCGGTCACATGTAAGGGGTGAGTGTTTAGGTAAGGCAACATATATCACTTTATGCTCACATTTTGCTCAAAAGCTTATTAAGCTCCACTGTCAAATATATTTATATCTAAACATTTAAAGAAACATGGTCCAAATAGATTAGTTTATTTCTGAGCAAGAATTAAAGAGTTACACTTAATAGCTTGATTAATAGCTACAATAACACAGGGCTTTTTTAATTCAAGATACACTGTATTATATTTTTATGATATGATATAAGCAATATCTAGAGCCAGACAGAATCTGCAGACATTTTTTGCTATTTCTGTGAAGAATTTTGTGAAAATTGGCATATTTGTATGGAATGGTTTTAGGAGTATCTTAAATTGAAACTTAATATATGAAATAAAAAATTATTAATTTTACTTTTATTTAATGTTTACAATCCAAATCCAATTAGATCAACGTTTTTGGTATATAATATCAAAATTTTTTGGTATATAATATCTCTACTAAAAGACAGAAAATATCCCTTTAGAAACTTTATTGTAAATAAACTATATGAACATTTTAATATTAAAATTATTGTATCGCAATAATATTAGTGAAATTAATTTAAAAATTAAATAAATATAAATTTACACACAATTACACAAGACAGACTCAACGATGGGCCACAAATCTGCGAAAATCAGTGGAGTTCTGTGCACGCAGATTTTGTGTGGGCCAACATTATCTTTTGAGCAATGCGTGCAATTTCACATGCCTGGAGATTTTGTCCCTAATAACAAATCTGTTTTGATTAATAATACGTTCAAACTGTATATTTAACAGAATTATTTGGCATAATTATAGGTGTGTCCCAAATTGCATAATATTCTACACCATTTTGTAGTATAAATAGTGTAATGAGTGCTTTTTAATTACCCAAATGATGCACTTATTGAACCGTTAAAATGAAGTGTGAAATGTTGGACACTTCACATACTCAATAGCTGCTGCTTTGCTCATGTAGCGGAAGGGGCGGAGCCTTCAGGCACTGGTGTTGGATTACTTTGTTTATTTTGGATTGTGAAAGCAGTATTCTCCTACAAGAGTGTTTATCACCTCCAGATGGTGAATGCAGTTATACTCATGGTAGGTATTATTTAGGAGTTTGGTCAATTATTTCAGTAATTTGACACTAGTTTGAATTTCCGCTTAAGTAAAAAACGTTAGTGCTCCATTTGGGACGACACTACCTTTATATACTATGCTGTTGAGTGTGTAAGCGCATAAGTCCCATTTTTCTAACAATACCTATGAAGTCAAAGCAAAAAAAAGAGTGTTTTGTTTCTAAATGAATCTGCGCATTGAACAAATCAGGTGAACCAATGATTAATTCATAAAGAGACACATTACCTTCATTCTTGGATGAATCAGCTATATGAACAAATCAATTATATGAATGACTAACTCTTTAAGAAATATTCACATAACCTGACTGTTTTAGTTTCTTATTTAGAATATTATTTCATGAACTGATTTAAATATTCATTAAAAATAAATAAACAAATAAATGAAGAACTGTAAATTTGTTATAATCTAACTAATAAATGCTTATATCATATGAAATTAATAAAATAATCCAGGACATCTATGTCTTATTATCATGAATTTTAGGTGTATAAATTTACAAAATGCTATATAACTAAAGTTGAAGTTAGAATTATTAGCCCCCCTGAATTATTAGCCTTCTGTTATTTTTTTCCAATCATTTCTCCTTACAGAGTGAAGATTTTTTTTCAACACATTTCTAAACATAATAATTTTAATAACTAATTTCTAATAACTGATTTATTTTATCTTTGCCATGATGAGAGTACATAATATTTTACTAGATATTTTTCAAGACACTTCTATACGGCTTAAAGTGACATTTAAAGGCTTAACTAGGGTAATTGGGTTAACTAGGTTAGGGTAATTAGCCAAGTTATTGTATAACGATGGTTTATTCTGTAGACTATTAAAAATATATAGCTTAAAGGGGCTAATAATATTTACCTTAAAATTGTGCTTAAAAAATGTAAATCTGCTTTTATTCTAGCCAAAATAAAACAAATAAGACTTTCTCCAGAAGAAAAAATATTGTCAGACATATTATGAAAATTTGCCTGCTATGTTAAACATTATTTGAGATATATATATATATATATATATATATATATATATATATATATATATAGTTCCTGGTTCCTGCATATATTATATATATATATATATATATATATATATATATATATATATATATATATATATATATATATATATATATATATATATATATATATATATATATATATATATATATATATATATATATATATATATATATATATATATAATAGGCTGATAATTCTGACTTCAACTGTTCATACAACTGCATTTACTTTCCTTTCAATTAACAAACAGTAATCAAAAGTATAGCTGTATAATTACTAAGGCAATAACTTTTAATACTACAGAATATTAGATGTTTTATGAATTCAATTGTTCAGAGCATAACAAGGTCATGAGCAAAACTCCAGTAGAAAGGGGATATCTGTTGTTTTTAAACATGAAATATTATTGATAATACGATTATCTGAGACATGTGGGCGGCACTGTACATTCGCAGGGTCCCAAATTACAAAAGTGTCAATGAAGTCAATGAGAACCAGCTAGACGTTTTAGTGAACCAGACATGCAAAAAATGCATTAAAATGTGGATGGAGAGAAGCAGAATAAAGGAACGAGGGCTGAAAACCAAACAAAAGGAGAGAAGGAAACAACAGCAGAGGAAATGTGGATGGAAAGAACAAAGAAGAAAGAAAAGTTTGACTATGGAATAATATTCACCTTCACTGGGAATGACAAGTATGTAGGGCGTGGTATTTTGTCCCCTACCTATTACCACTAAGACAAGGTTTTACGTTCCAGGCCGGCATGCATGAGAGAAAAGAAGGAAAGAAAAAATAGTCTAAAGAATTATGCTTTCAACTCGATCATCCGAGCTTCCTTTGAGTGAGTAACATTTGGCTGGAAAGGAAACTCAAATGTATAGGATATACAACAGGTAGGCTATTTCGCAATGGAAGAAGTTAATATTACTCCAGAATCATCTAGTGGAACTGACATAAGACTTACAGAAAATTTTATGAATTGATTTCTTGTGTGGCTTCGGAAAACTTTTATTCTAAATCTCCAATTGCATATTTGAACTTTGAAATAGATTTAGGGGGAATGCACTAAGACGTTGCGTCTGCCGTCGCTTTTATAAATGTAATTTTAAATTAAATAAATTATGCAGCAGTTGTGCAGTTCTGTATTAAGCTATTTTTATGCGAGTGACGCTACAGAATTTATGCTAAATTCAGAACGGCATGTCCCAATGGGTTAGTTCACCCCAAAATTAATATTAACCCATGATTTAATTACCCTAAAGGCATCCACTCAAGAAAGGCAGTCTCTCGTAAACACACATATGACAGTTAGTGGAACAACACTGTTTCTAATGTTTTAAATATGGACATTTTATTTAGAAAAGCACATTGATTGGGACACAAATCCCACCCACTGCCCTTGTAGAGCTTAAAATAGGTATTAGTTATTATTTTAAATAAATTTGACAGAATTTGGCTGAAAGAAAAAAGGCGTATATATCTAAGTTGCCTTGAGGGTGGGTAAACCATGGGACCATTTTCATTTTTGGGTTAACTAACCCTTTAAGTGACTATTCTAAATGCTAGGAAGTGAGTTCCACTCTTTAACATTGTGAACTGGTATTAAACACGGCAACCTGATTTCACTAAGTAGGACACGTTCCTGGAATAACATCTATATTGTTCCTGGAACAACATTCAATCAGCCAATCAGAATTAAGGGATATGTTTACAGTGTATGTTTAGGCTTACAGTTAGGTTTATGTACTTCTAAATGAGTGTTATCCAACTAATATTCCCCTCTGATTTTAGGAATAATTTCCAGTTATGGTTGGATTTAGGGATAGGGAATGGGTATAGATTACATTAAAACAAAAATGATGTTCCAGGATCAAAATAGATGTTAATCCAGGACCGCATCGTACTTGGCAAAATCATGATATACTAATAAACATTGATTTATCACTGCGATTCAAACAACTAAACTGTTTTTTTAAAGAGGCCATATGATGCTTTGTAATGCTTTGCTTTTGCTTTAGTGTTAGGATACCTGCATATTACTCCCCACTAACTTGCAAATGACAGTTTGAAATATTAGTTTAATACTACTTTAGAGAATAGTAGTATTGATGCCATGCTGTAAAAATGAGTTTAAATGTGAACCTGATTCTAACTCAAATGCTCAAATGTGTGTATGCTAACCGTCGCTTTAAAAGCTAAATCTGATGATTACGATAAGAGGAGCTACATTTTTAACACGTTTGTTGTATTTGGCCAATCACAATGCACTGGGTCAGTTGGCCAATCAGAGCACTTCAGACTTTTCAGTAGGAGGGGCTTTGTAGATTCCAAACCAGAGGTGCGTTTCCAAAATAACGACATAACTCGTGGCTAAACTATCATAGTACCATGCATCATTTGGGAAAATAACTATGTAGTGATGAGTTACACGTTTGAACTACGTTAGTTATAACGTAAAACGTCCATAATGATGTTCTAAATCGGGTGGAGTAACAAATTCTTTAGGGAAAAAGCTCATATTTTGTGCAAATTATGCTGCTTTACACGCACCGACATTTAAAAAATATTATATTTTTTATTATATAAAATATTAGTTTTGATAAAAACATGCACTCTTTTTCTATATAAATGGAAATATATGCATGGCACATATAAGGCCAATAAGGCCAATACGTTTTCAATATAAGTTTCCTTCACAAATATTATTGAGAATATGCCTTATTCAACTCTAAAACATAAAAACCACTTAGTCAACACTAATCTCATCTATAAATCATCTAAATCGTTAGACTAATGGTTGTAATTTACAGTAGGCCATTTATTAAGAAATTGAAAAAAAAATCTGCTAAATACTAACAATAATAATAATTAATATTATTATTGATTTATTATTATTATTATTATTATTATTATTATTATTATTATTATTATCATTAATAATATTATTAAGGAGGGCATTGTTTATTTATTTATTTTAAGTCTACTTTTACAATCTGACATTCAAACCACTGCAGAAATGTTCTAACCAATAGGCCAGTGTACATTTCTTAATAAATAGCCTACTATAAATTAAAAGCATTAACATATGCTATATATTTTTGTTTTCTAAAGGTTTGTAGATGTAACGTTAATTCCACTTTTAAATAATAGGTCACCTAAAGCGTTGGTCATGAGCCACGGCTGCATTCAAAGTGGCATAAATGTTTTCATAAGTGCATTGCGAAGGCAACACATTGACAATATGAAGATTGCTAAAAACTTTGAAAGCTAATCACACCTAAGAGAGATGACTTTAATGCTTTTTTAAAAAAATCATTCCAAGTTAAATGTTGGAACTTTCTAAACAAATAGGGCATAGGGGGATAACTGGGCATAGAACACAACCAGGAACTATGCTTTTAACTAAAACTTTAGAGGTGTAGTTGGAAACAAGCGATGCAGTTTGTGAATGTTTGTTAGAATGATGGATTTGGAAAACGCCAAATCAACAAACTTTGTTTGTAATAACGGAACTTGCGACCTTAGCTGGCTAACCATGGTTTTCATAAATGCACTCCAGAGCATTTCAGATAGATCTGGAATTGAGGTGCTGCTATGTGTGAAAAATACAACCTAAAAAAAAAAAAAAAAAAAAAAATATATATATATATATATATATATATATATATATATATATATATATATATATATATATATACATATATATATATATATATATATATTACTGCATAATTGCTGCAAACAATTTATATGGGTTGAATTTAAACAAAGAAATTAAATGTAGTAATGATCAACAATTTATTTCTTTAAATTCAGCTCAAATAAATTGTTTACAACCACTTAAATAAAAAATAGTAAATCCAAGGAATCATCTTTAAATAATTTTTTTTCAGTGTACTTTTTTGAATGTTCACCTTTTCTAGTACCCTTTAAATAGCATCATGTGACCTCTTTAAATCCAGAATTAAACAAATCTTAAAGAAATTTCATTTACCGCCTACTTCGCAGTAGTAAGTATTTGTGCCGTGCCTGATTAAGTCATAGTCTAATGCACACTGAAAGGCGGGATGTTTGCACAGAAATGAATGGCAATTACTTAAATACAGTGCATCGCCATTTCATACTCATTAAAGTAGATTGCAGGAGCTGAGTGAATAAGATGCAGGGTTTTTGTGCAAATGTCACACAACCGCTTAGTGAATTCACCCCATAATCTAAACCTATTCAAAGCGCTAACATTAAGAAGGCTCGCACAAAGCATGTCTTCCTAAAGCAGAAACACAAAAGTGATTTTTATTTTAATAAGAACCCAACTCAGGACAGATCTATCTGGGATATGAAAGGAAAACAGGCCATGACCAAATGAAATTAAACAGGAAGAGGAAAAAAAACCTGACATGGAGCAAAATAAAATGAGTTGAGCAAAACAAACAAACAAACAGGTGTGTGCAGAAGCAAGCTTATTGAAGGAGATGGAGAAAAAAAAGCTAAAACGAACAAAAGAAAATGGGAAAAAGAAAGAATGGGGAAGAAATCAAATGTGATGAGTCTGTAGCGCTGCACGGCTATAGTGTCTCTTTATCTGTGATGTCCATTAAGTAATAGAAAGTCTCTTGTGATTGCTCTGTTCCTGGAAGTGATTATGTAAAAGGGTCTTTTTTTTACTAGGAGAGAAGGGGAAATGAAATGGAGCAAAAGAAACTGAACAGAATTGTTGGCCAGAGGCAGATAATCATGCAGGTAAAATAAAATGGGATTTGAGATTTGTCAATGAAACCGGGAGCGCTAATCTCAGTCTGATGCGACTCAGCTTTTTCAGACTCTACAATAAAAAGGCTTTGTCCTTTTTTCTTATTGTTGTTGTTCCTCATCATGTTTAGTAATGGGTTCCACTATAAAATCAACGTTCTCTTAATAATACCAAGCATTTTAATATTACATCTGCTTAATTCCAACCAAAACATTACTTGATTTCATTGAGTGTGTTGGGCTACAGGGAATATATCAACCCAGCCAAAGAACGAACTTTGTCTCATCTGAATATACAAAGGAACAAGCAAATAAATCAATGAGTAAATCAATATTTAATAATAATAATAATAATAAAATGTGTCATTCACACAAGCTAACAAGAAGTGAAACAATTCTCATACCTTTGGTGGCAAGTCGCACGCAGTTGATTTTGGTTTCCTGGAAAAAGCAGAGGAGAGTTTGTGTTTTAATTAAACGTCAGAATCATTCTATATTGAGGAACATTGTTTTTGTCAAGCTACAGTGATCTTTGTAATTGCAACACAATGAAGTGCGGGTTATTTTCATCATGAGGTGCTTGTCATTAAGAAACAGTTAATTATATAACAACATTTCTAATGATAGCGGAATGCAGCGATGGGGCCAAAACAGACAGAAGCCAACTTTATTTTGTTTTTATGTATGTAAAGTGACTACAACTATAATGTAAGGCATTTAAAGTGACGAAACAGACTGTATATTCATACGACATACAACCTTATTTGATTAAAAAAAATACATTTGATTGCGCTGTGTAACACAGGGGTGCCCAAACTTTTCGTATGAAGGGTCAAAAACCAAATAACATTAAATGAACCAAAATATTTTACATTAAAGTTGCCATGGGTAACGTCCTAATTTATTTCATAATATTTAAAAATAAATATAAGATGTCACTTTGAATTGTATTAATGCAGGAGCTCAATTCTGAAAACGCTGAATCTGTTTTTGCCTTGAGTTGATCACCAAAGTCTTTGCATTGTCCTCTATCTGTCAGGTGGCTATATAGACATTTTAAACAAAAATACAGCATTTAAATGAAAACATTTAATCTCTGTTAGCTTTTTTGTAGCTTATTAAAAAAAAAAAACATTTGAGATGACAATCACTAAAACATCCCTATAATTTCACCTCTCTTCTCAGATGGCATGGCAGGCCAAATCAAACGTTTCCACGGGCCAACTTTGGCTCATGGGCCCTAGATTGAGCATCTTCGGTGTAACCGAATGTAGTCATGTACTGTATATGGAATCACGTTAAAGTTCCTCATTATGTATTTTAATGGTTTCTTATTTAGTTTTGGAGCTTTACATAGTTAACATCAAAATTATTAGCCCTGTAATTTAAATTCTTTATTTATTTACAATAATTTATATTATTGTAATTTAAAAATTTTAAATATTTTTACAGCATGGGTTTTAGAATTATTTTAATAACTAGTTTCTAATAACTATTACTCAACTACAAGTGTAATTAAAATATGTTATTTTGTTAACCAGACAAGTTAGGATACTTAGGCTGTTGGAAAACAGTGGTTTGTTTTGCAGCCAATAGAAAAATATTTTAATTCTTCAAGTCGCTTATAGTTTTGACGTTAAAATTGTGTAAAATAAATTAAAAATGTATTTCAATTCAGACAAACAAGCTAAATATTTAAGAATTTCTCCGGAGGAAAAAATATTATTGAAAATACTGTGTAAATTTCCTTCCCCTGTAAAGCATCAAATAGATAAAATAAAAAAATAATAGTACTAATAACATAAAAAAAATTAAAAAGAAAAAAGAAATACAAAATAAAATAAATAACTGAATCACAATATAATTTAGATTTTAGCTGTATATGCAATATTAAAAAACAAAACCAAAAAAAAAAAAACAAGCATAGAAAACTAATACTTTAACTGCCGTCATATACTTTGCATCATCAGTGCTTTTTTCTCACAGATTCCGAAATAGTTGCTTCAAAGATCTGTAAAATATGAGATGAAAGCTTACTCTGCTCTAATTGGTCAAAACATGACCCAGTCTGTTCTGTTTGCTCTACAGCCCTTACATTTATGATGGATCCAAAATGGCCCCATTTCTACTCCAGATGCACTATTTTCAAACATAATAAAGCAAGCATTAACAATGGTGTTGTTCTATAACGTCAATCTGAGCACAAATTTTTATCCTTCTTTTTTTCCCGTTGTTATGATTTTAAAGTAATTTGTCAGCAAGCGAAATTGGAAAAACAAATTAGGGGTTAGGGATTGGGAAAAGCCTAGGAGACAGAACTCAGAAATCCTGAATCAGAATGGCGCTACAGGTCGGTGCACTGCCCACGAGGCTATTGGCACCATCAATCCTCATCCTTTTTGATATGTTACCAACACAAACTTTTTCAGGCCTCAGTTGAAAGTATCAGTGTTCATGGTTCTGAATTCGAAATCTAAATAAGTTTGTGCAGGAAGTAAAAGTAGAGTTACTTGATTTAGGCAGTTCTTTCTTTTGGAGACTCAAATAAATAACTCAAAAATCTTTAGCGTCCACTTTGAGCTTTGAACATCTACTGACTTTTTACATGCACAAAAGGTTATACAACACAATATAAGAAAAGTCATTAAAAAAAAGCACAGAAAAATGGTCCATTGGATTTACTACATTTTTGGGGGGAAAGTATTTACAAACAATTTATATGGACTGAATTTAAACAAATTAAATTTAGTAATGTTCAACTTAATTTGTTTGTTTAAATTCAGCCCATTCAAATTGTTTGGAACCACTTCACCAGCTTCAAACAATTGAGTAAATCCAACAAATCATGTTTTTTAGTAAACCATAAAACAATAACACGAATAATACTTTTCATTTGACGTGCAGTTCTATTTCATTGTGTTCAAAAGCTTTATCTTCCTTTAGAATGCCAGCCATGATGATAAAAATCTCACTTGCATCCTCTGAAAGCCTTGCGTGACATGACAGGTGTTAATTAGTCTGCAGATTTCGGTGTGAAGTCTGCATGGAAGTTTAGAGCGCTGAGACAAGGAGCCAGATGCTACCATGTGTTTCGGTAAGCGTGTTTACAACAGCCACTTGTTTTGATTAGATCTGCTGTCCTTGTGCAGCTCATCTCAGTACTCCCGTAAACAATCATTCCTATACATCATAGGCTCTTGAAATATTTTGAAAATATTTGATTGGGTTATGCTGTGTAGTAAGCTTACTGTGATATAAAGCTAAAAATAGTGTCAGAACGCAATAAAAAGCACATGTTGCATTCTCAGCATTACTACAGGAGGCATTATAGCACATATTATTTCCTTCTCAAGCTTATTTTCACCACAAACCATATAGATAACTAATTTCGTGTCCCGCTATACCATTTGTTTTTCACAAATGGGCTTTTATATCTCAGTTTAGATTGTCTCAGATTTGCAAGTTTTAGCTAGCTGGTTGAAATATACAGGTTCTACGCGAACACGAGTGAGTGTGCTACAAGTTACATTTGATAAATTCATCAACTTTAATGCAAAATTCAGTAATGAATTAATTTTTATACACTTTTATGCATAATCATGATTTTTTTGAGCACTGCAATTAATGAAATCGGTTCCTTTTAACATTTTTTTTAATGAAAGCTCATTCAACTAAATAGAAACAATTTCCGTGAACTCACAATTTGATTGTATTTGTCACAATCACCAGTAATCTAGCCTGTGCAGATCACTGGAAAACATTTACTAACTACACATCCACCACTGAACTGGACTACATATCCTATCATGCACCTCACACACACCAATTCCAGATTATTATTGATTGCAAACACGCAGCTGAAGCTCGTGAGGACTGATTAACAAGACTATAAATACACCTCACTTGCACACACTTTGCTGAGTCCTGAATCCTGTAAGTAAGCATTTCAAAGTGTTTTCCTGTCAAGCCTTATAAAAAGCAATATAAAACAAAAACAAACAAACAAACAAACGAAAAACATATACAGTTGAAGACAGAATTATTAGCCCCCTTTTGATTTTTTTTCTTTTTTAAATATTTTCCATATGTTGTTTAATAGAGAAAGGACATTTTCACAGTATGTCTGATAATATTTTGTCTTATAGAAAAAGTCTTATTTGCTTCATTTCGGCTAGAATAAAAGCAGTTTTAATTTAAAAAAAAAAAAACATTAAGGACAAAATTATTAGCCCCTTTAGGCTAATTTTTTTCCCGCTAGTCTACAGAACAAACTGTCGTTATACAATAACTTGCCTAATTACCCTAACCTGCCTAGTTACCCTAATTAGCATAGTTAAGTCTTTAAATGTCACTTTAAGCTGTACAGAAGTGTCTTGAAAAATATCTAGTAAAATATTATATACTGTCATAATGGCGAAGATAAATGACAACAGTTATGAGTTATGAGTTAACAGAAATGAGTTATAAAACTTATGTTTAGAAATGTGTTCTTATCGTCATTAAACAGCAATTGGGAAAAAATAGAGGGGCTAATAATTCTCACTTGAACTTTATACTGTTTAACGTCACTATGCCTATATCAGTGACTCGCTTCGGAAATATGAAAAATCCCCTTGGCAACACTTCATTGCACATATCAATTTGGCTCACGGCTAATCAAAGCCAATATGGGTTGCTCAAATACATCCAATGCTGATGAATGCAAACACAACACCGCCCTCAACTCACACTGTTGACACTGAAAAATGAAGCGTCAATGCAGTGGAAAAGAGCAGCCACTAACATGTGACCTCGCTGTCGGTGACAGTTTGTCCCATCTGATTGTGGCATTGAAGCAGGGGGTGGATTGACACAGCGAGGCGGAGTGGGGTCCATATGTGAGCGGACCATCTGTCTGTCACAGACTGCTATCGGACAAGCAGGGTCAAACTCTGCCGGCCATTGTAAAAAGGCTGAAAGTAATACTGTTCGAGTTTTACGAGGACATGCTACAGTATGCAGATGGACAGAGGGAGGAGAAAATACAAGCTAGAACCCTAGAAGCGAGGCCAAAAATAGGCTACTAGTAGTCTATTTTAGATTGTTATTATATTTAAAGGCACAATAGTAGTGAGGTTGGTCTTTTTCTACAGTATTCTATAGTAAGAGAACTCTGATATAAAATGTACTATGGAGTGCAATGGTAGAGTCATTACACCATTCAAAGTAACATCAGTGATTCACTCACCTTTTTACAGTCAGCAATTGATTGTTAAGGCAAATATCTTTTTGGATGGGCACTAAATACTGTATAACTGCGTATATGACTATGTTTATATACTGTCCAACTGTCAGTATATAAAAAATAGCATCCCTGAACAATGCCACATAGAAGACAGTTGTAAAGGCAAAAGAGGATTCAACCCAGTACTAACAATGTGTAACTATTACAGAGGCTGGTG